TTTATTTTTTTTATTTATTTTTTTATTTTTTTGTTTTTTAAATCTTAATTTTTTTTTGTTAACTAAATATAAAAGAAATAATTCATAAATTAATTTTTTTCTGTTATAAAATTTGACATTAAAAATTAACAAACTACGAAAAATTATTTATATTTATATTTATGTAATAAAATTTAAATATTTAATTGGTTATATGACTTATTGTGGATTCTTATATGTATTAAATATAAATCATATTATATATATTAAAATTTTTATTTAATATCAAAACGTGTCCCAACGTGTCCAAATATGACATTTTTTAGAATTAACGTGTCGGCGTGTCGTGTCGTGTTGTGTCCCGTGTCCGTGTCCGTGCATCATAGGTCTCAACAGCAACATCATAATCATAAAGCTAACAGCAAAATAGCAACAGACATAATCCAGCATCCAACATAATCAGCATACAACATATAATCCAGCTAAGCTCCGGCCTCCTGCCGCTAGAGGTCTCAACCCCCGCATTACCTGAACCTGAAATATATGCCCTAAACGTAGGGTGAGATCTCTAAACAGAAATCTCAGTAAGACAAGTGGTCCTCAAGGATCTTCCACCCTAAGCTCACTTACATGTGCAATATAAGTTCAAAAAGCAGGTATATGATATAAGTTCCAAAGTCAGTGTAATGCAACAGATAACCATGTCATGTGTGTCAAGATATTCTACTGGCCAGAGAAATGCAGGATATACGTCTATTTCCTACAATCAGTGCAAGACGCCACTTGCACCCACCCACAGAATCACCATATTGTATGACGCCACATACTCAGGTTTTTCATCTAGATGGAACAACACATGCATATTATAAGGCCTTTACACTTAACTGTTCAAAAGCATTCCAATCATCAAAGCATGAAAACAGATCATGCATATAAACCATTCCCCTATGGGGTATGGTGGAACCAACAATGGCTAAACCGAAGACACGAAAGCTTACCTTGCAAGCTAACTATCCAAGCTAAGAGTCCACACTAGCTCAAAAGCTCACAAACAGCAAAATCACAATCTGTTTATACAGTAAATAATCATCAATAACCATTTACCAAGGTTACATTAAGTGATTAAGGCTTTCCATCTCATTTTAAGTCATTACATGTTGTTTCTGCAGGAGGTATTCGAATACTCCAGCTCTCTAGAAAGTATTCGATTACTTTCACTCAAGTATTCGAATATCACAAGGTATTCGAATACCAACACCCCAAGTATCCGAATACCACAATATCCGGATACCAAACGCACTGTATTCGAATACTCTCCAGTATTCGAATACTTCTTCAAAGGTATCCGAATACTTTTCTTCCCAGAAAAGTATCCTAATACTCCTGCAAGGAGTATTCGATTACTAGAGGACAAATATTCGAATACTACGCGAAAAGTATTCGAAACTTCTCCTCCAGAATGCAAAAATATGAACTGCCATCTGCACAATCCCATTTTTAAGGGTCCAAACGTGATTTGGAGTCCAATGACTCCACAAACAGAAGTTCATTAACAAGTTAGGAACTCAGAAATACATTCATTTAATCAAATGGTCCAAGTTTTACTTTTTAACCGATTAAACAAGCTTAAAAACATCAAAATGACAAAGAGGTTATCAAGTATACCTCTAAGGCTCCAAAACTCGAAAAATGAGGCACACAAGGGGTCCTCTACACAGCACTAAGGTTCTGACTTTACCAAGGTACGAATTTGTTCATCAAGCTAGACCCTTTATGCCAAAAGGTTGCTTCTTAAAGCTCAAGAATGACAAGATGAAGACTTCTCCAACCAACTCACCAACTCAGCTCCTCAAACTACCCAAAAGCAGAAGCTAACACTCAAAATGCTACACCACACTCCCTCACAAAGCTTAACAAGACAGTGTTTACAACTTCAAAGAGGAAGAATCAAAGGAAATGTGAGAACTTGTGAGATTCTATGGAGAAAACTCAAGTTTGAAAGGAGGAGAGGGTGGCTGATTGAGAGCTTTAGCAAGAGACTCACGTAGAGTAGAATATGGCCTAGGGTTTTGGGCCAAAGTGAGTATTTATAGCTCACTTAAAATAAAACACACAGTATTAGCAATAATAGCTACGTTTTGCATTTTAATCTCAAACTTTAGATTCTGAACCTAGCCATTTTTCCAAGATTTACCATATTTTTATTTTATTTTTCGCAGCACCTTTCTGGTACGCGCTTTTCTATAGCCACTATCAGTTCTGGCACCAGTTCTTATTATTTTAACTTGAAACTTGAAATCACAGTCCTATATATTATTCTAGGAATATTCATGCACTTATTATAATTTTCTGAGATACTTCATCGGTACACATTTATACCGAGGAGCAGAACCGGTATCTGCATTTTTCGTCAGAAAAGCGACTTTCAGTCTTATTAATCACTTACCATAATTATTTAAGCCTTCTCATAATTATAAGAGTAAATTGTGAAATTATTTCCTAATTTTACATAATTGATTAATTAATTTTCTTAATTAACGGTGCAGGTTCTTACACAAAGCATCCCTTTTTCTAAGGATTACATGTACAAACAATCATAGACATTTAGTATTCATTACTTTTCTCTTTATAAGATACAACTGATTCACCGTCAAATTTATCATAATATTAAATATCTGAACCTTACACATAAACTTTACCAAACATATAACTTCATCAGAATTTTAAATTCAAAATACATATTCAAACTTATCAGACATACCAGTCATTTCACAAAACATCATATATATCAATCATTTCACATATCAGTGGATACGTTAATTATTTCGCATATTAACAGACATGTTAATCATTTTACACGTCAATCAACACATCAATCATTTTGCATATTATCATGCACGCCAATCAGTTCACATACCAACACACATGTCAATCGTTTCACTTATTAACAGAAACATTAGTCATTTCACATGTTAACTGATACGTCAACGTTAAATTCATTATTTAAATTATATACCAATATACCTCACACACCACATTTCATTTTTCATATGCATACCACTATTCCAATTTCCAACCGCATTATTAGTACAGACAATAACCATTATCCAACTGGATTCTGGTAGAACAATAAGCCAGAAGAAATCTCCTTGTTTATATTTTGACCCCTAGACTTTATTAATATTCTTATTTAGGTCTAATTTACCTTACTTGACATGAATTGTATCATCACAAATTTTAGCATGTCAATTCATTCATTTACGCAACAAAATTTACATCAAAATCTTACTTATTCAAAAGCTAGTGTAACCTAGTATTCACACTTGTATTTCTTTTATTATTTCAAGATTTCTTCACATGGGTTGTTATAATGCATACCCCTATTTTCAATACAAGCAATATCAACAATATATAGAATTACAATAATGAATGAGGAGTTGGTGCTCTATGTGATTGTGAAATCATAAATGAGAGATAATTGGATTATTAGTGCAATGGTTACAAAGTTCAAAATTCAAAACACAAGTCATCCTTAAATATTTTACAACAATGGTTAAGTTTTTTTTTTACCTTTCATCTTAATTTAAATTTTCAGCACTTTAATTTATATCATAATAATTGAGATCCTCTTACATACAAGAGGTTTCATTTTTTATGTTCATATAATCTCATATTATTTTAGTTATAGTACGAGTTTAATAAAATGTGTGGTAATTGACTCTCCTATATCTCAACTCTACTTATATAGGTTCAAAAATCATTAGAAATATGTAAAGGGTAAATCAATCTTTAAGTAATTATATAATACTTAGAGAGTATTATTACACGACACATGTCTTATTTAACATGATTAATGATGATGATTTTATAACTTTCTATTCCAATATTTCTCCCTATTTTTTTATTATCATTGATTCATCCTTTATAAGGATACTTTTAAATGAGATAATAATATGGGAAAACTTCAAAAATTCCTCTATCAGTCTTCTTAATTATCATCTATCCCCTCACAATTTTTTTGAATCATTTACACCCTTATTTAGATTTTTTTTATCACTTACCCTCTGACTTAAAGTTTCTTTATCACTTACCCTCCTTATTAAGGGGATAAATAATAAAAAAACTTTAGGTCGGGGGTAAATGATTCAAAATTTTGGAGAGGAGTAAATGATTATGAGGAAAGTTACAAGGGATTTTTGAAGTTTTTCCTAACATGAGAAAATTGTTTGTTATTTTAAATGACATAAAGTTATGTCATTTTAAGAAAGAGATAGACACAAAATAATTTTTTTATTTAAAATTTAAATTAAAAAAAATCACCCACTTTCTCTCTCGCATGATTTTCATTTTTTGTATTTATTTCTTTCTTAAAAAGACATAATTTATGTTATTTAAAATGACAAACAGTAAATCTTAATATTTAATAATATATGAGAGGATGTTATTACACCTCGTGAATTAAATAAATAAATAAATTGTGTTTCCTTAATTGCTTCCCGTCTCCTTTGCTTGTAAGTTAACCTGTGTTGCTTAACAGAAAAAAGTATAAGAGTAAATATTCCTTAACAAATTTCACGATACTGGTTTTAGTTTATAAATAAAAAGTTATTCATAGTCTCTAAGAAATTTAAAATAGACCTATTTAGTTAAAATCGTAGTCTTTCATAAATTCAAAAAAGACTCATATTAATCCTTCAAAAAAATTAAAATGAGTCCACTTTAAAATTTTTAATAATCATGAATAATCTTTTTATTTGTCGGCGGATATCCCAAAATTTGGTTAGGATAATGTAAGGGGGCGTTTGGTACGCGGGATTCTTCAAGAATCTCGGGAAACTGAATTTTTCTAAATTTTAAATTTACGGATATTATCATAAACTGAATGTAAAATTCATACTTTTAAAAATTAAGATTCCCGACTAAAAAAATTTTCTCCTCTACTCATAAAATATAATGTAAGAGAGTAGTGTGGCTTCATTTCTTAAATGACAAGGCCTCTCGTTCTATTGGCTAAACAACATCATCGATTCAGTTCTCTGTTTGCAATAACAAAAAAACGATATAACAAAGCAAAGAAACTTGCAAATAGTGAAAACTATCACACTGTATCTCACGCGCCTCTCCAATTTCCACATCCACAACCGCTGCTACCACCGGTCCCGGTGGCTATCACCACCTCATTCCGGCCACCCACGCTCCGGCAACCGGTATTATCTCTCTCTCTCAAAATCACACGCACATACATTTCTGTGAATCTTAAATTTTTGTTGTTACTGTTGTTGGGTCCTTTTCCATCTGTTGTCGAAATTACGATACGATCTTAGATCCAAACGTTTCAATTATCTTTCCGTGAATGTTAGGATCAATTTCGCCTTCACTTTTGGAGGATTTTTTTTTTATCCTGTTTAATTTTTTTTCTTATAGTAAGCATTCTTGGCGTGAACGCGTTTTAAGTGCTTCGCGCTTGTGTTTTCCGAAGCGCAAAATCATGTTTTCGTGCCTAGTTGCCTTGGAGAAAATCGCCTTGTGAATCGGTGGCGCCTGGTTACTTCGTCGCGTTCTCAACAGTTGTTTTTATCGAAAAATTGGTTATAATTAGAATGGGACAATAGCGAGAAAGTGTTCATGCGGAAGAAAAAAGAGGCAGTGTAACCAGTTAAACAATATTCGAACACATTTTCTTTTCGCGTTTATAATATCAGCTTTCTGGTTTGTTAGTATATTTGTTAATGTTTGTTCAGTAAAATTATTCCCCCCACCCTCCATTTTGTGCGTATAAACACTCTTGGTGGAGTATATTGTATTTGCTATGCTGTAATTCGAAACAGTTTCATAGATCTAGTATTAGTAATTAATACTGTAAGTTTTGGTTTCTTGGGTTTGTCTTGTGATGTAAAGGTTTTTTGGGGTGGCTTGAGGATGTTGTTAGGGGGAATAGCTCTCAGTCAACAAATTCATTCTCTGAAATTAGAATTAAAACCTTATGGTTTGGTCCCAAAACTAGAAACAAAACCTAATTCTCAATTATAGAGCATTTGATCCCTTTCTTTTGGGGTCAATTGTGTGGCTAAGAGCTTGTGTTTCTGTGAAGGTAAGATTGTGGGAAGGGGTCTGACTGCAGAGAAGGGAATGATTCAGCTATGTTGGATTGGGTTTCTGGTCCGGGGGATCCCAGTCATAGGGAACCGGAGATTACAGGGTCGACTGTGGTCTGTGGGTCATGATGGCTTTGATATGGCATATGGCGTTCAGTTTCAAAATCAGTTCAACGGTGGGTCTATAACTGTTTATGACTTGTTCTGCGTGGTCTCAAAATCAGTTCAATCAACGGTGTTCTACACTGTTTGTTCTGTGTGATAAAAAATTTCTTGGTTAAGTTAATGGGTGAAGGACGAAGGCCTTTGGTGTAGTTGGAGATTTTTGGTTTTGACAGTGGATTTTGTTGTGGTTGATGATTGTATTGATGTGGTCTAGTGATTTTGTTTGAGTGCTTGGAATTTTGGTTTTCTGTGGGTGTGTAGGAATGTTTGACTGTCTCATTAGGAGAATTTTCTAGGTTGTGATTCTATCACCCTCTAATTGTTGAAATTTGAAAAGAATGAATTGCTGGTTGCCCTTTCTTAATTTTCTTTGGGACACTTCGTGTGTGTGTGTGTATGTTATGCCTGCTGTATGAATGCTTCAGAGTGGCTAAGTATGAAAACAAAAATGAGAGTATGTGTCTCTATTAAAAAAGGGCAAATCCCAGTACACAAGGCTCCTTGACTTTGCAAGAGTAGGGGTGAGGATCGATTTTATGCGGCCTTATCCCTTGCATTTTGCCACCGGTGACCATCCGGTCACAAAGAAGCAATTTTGCCACCGTTCCTAGGCTCGTCCTTAGTATTCATGTGTCTTTGTATGTGAGAAAAATGCTGATTGGATAATGGGTGTGATTCTGGCTTCTCCATGGTTTTCTGCCATTATAAGCTGTGGTTGAAGAAGGGAGAGAGAGAAAGTGATTTGGGAGATGAAAAAGGCATCCACGTGGAAAGTTGATGTCAACTATCCTTGAGGGACTAAATTGATGTCAACCAAGGACCAAAATGGTTGTTTACTCTATGTTTTATTATAATTTTTCTCATGAAATAAGTATTGGCAAGGCATTTATACATTATATGCATGCCTTCTACATCATGGATCATTGGAGTTGTCCTTCTTTTGCACCTTAATGGCTATATCACTGAGCTTCTGAGCTACCATTTTTAAAATGTTTGCTTATATTGTTTCTGGTACTTTTATATGAAAACGTACATCTTTGCATTTGAAATCTATTGCAATATTTGAAAACTAATATGTTTTGTCCAGTACGAGCTTAATGTATTTTTTAATACTTCACGGTTGGTTTTCCTTGGAAATGTTTTTCCCGCTGGATTGAGATTCACCCTGGTTATTGAAAGTTCGAAATGGCCTTGAAGGCCGATGCATGCAAGAGGGAAAAACAAAATTTTTCTTTGCGGAATATACATGCACATCAAGATCATGCTTTAGGAAAGCATGATGTTACCTTGTTCGTGAAATCACCAGATGATCAAGGCCGGTCTGAAGGGTTCAGACCCTCTAACGTTGATCCACACCACCCACTCGTCTAGGTGCAAGAACTCCTTCTTGTGAAGCCACCGTATGATCACCACAAAGAGGCTTGCTAGGCGCTCTATGTGTGAAGATGGAGGCTAGGTGAAAGTGTTTGAAAAAGTGAAGCTCTCAATGTGAAAGCTTCACAAGTGGCGCAGGAGAGAGGAGAGAATAGGCTAGGTTTTCAGAAAAACCCTTGGAGGAACAACTGAACACTTAGGCACATAAGAGGAGAGTATTTAAAATAAAATACCAATCAGATTTTTCTCCTAAAAATCTGATCATGAGGCGCCAGATAGGAGAGAGAGAAGTGGAGCTGTTTTATTTCAAAAATTGCTAACAGGCTCCTAGAATATTCTCTTGAGAATTGGTTCAAAACCTATTCAAAATTCTGATCAGAAATCTTCATAAGATCAGCTATATGGTGCGCCCCATATAGCCCAAAAAGGTGACCAAATACATCTGAGTAGTTGCATTCAAATTTGAATCAACTCACTCAGATTTTCTCCCAACTGACTGAATCTTCTGGAGCTGATTTTGATGAGCAAATCTTGCTCACCAACAACCCAAATCAGCGCCATATATGGCCTTGGATCTTGTCCAAAAGATTCTCTCATGATACTAGTGATTTATTCCAACAAGATCTCATCTTATCCTTTTGTTATGAAACAACCTTTCATAGGCAATTCAAATTCAAATTCAAATTCAAATATTTGAATTCAAACATTCAAATATTCAAATTCAAATGTTCAAACATTCAAATTCAAAATTCAAATTTTCAAATTTCAAAATTCAAATTTCAAAATTCGAATTCAAAATCCAAATCCAAATTTCAAATTTCAAATTCGAATTTCGAATTTCGAAATTCAAATTCAAATTCAAAATTCAAAATTTCAAAATTCAAATTTTCAAATTCTAAAATTCAAAATTTAAATGTTTGATAATTAATTTAACTAATTAAATTAATTAGTAATGTCTTGGACTATCCAAGCCCATTACAATGAACCATGCGCCCTCCACCCCTTTAGGTGGAGTTCCAAACAACTTCTTGGGCTAATAACTATTATTAGGCCCAATACCTTTAATGCTAGAGCATCTAGACAATTAGGTGTTTGTGTGTGACCCATTAGGTCTAACTTAGCCACTGACATAAATGGGCTTGGGCCCAATAAGCCCACAACCCATCTAATGACAACACAGAGCACTAGCAATGCTTTGTTGCCCCAGAACTAGTTAGATTAATGATTTGATCATCCTATTAAACATATTTGGTTGTCGTACATATTTCCTTTCGTCTCGGTTACCTTCCCATAAAACCTAGGGTAAGGAAGCGTATCAACCCCTGCGGTTTAGGGTAAGCTTTTATTCGAAATTAGGGAATCTTCAATTTACAGACTCTAAAGGAAGATCATCTCATGATCTCTTTTACTATGCATAGATTCCTGAGTCCCTGTAAATGTCATCCCGATTTCTCCGGTTTACAGATAACCTAATCTCTTACAGAGATTTGACGAATTCCTTCAGCTTATCACCCTAGCCCTGTGTTCTTTCAGGACAAGCCCAACAGTATACCTATGAGTCTCCATGTTTCAGGCAGACGAGGTGCACAATCAAAGCATGCCTTCTAGAACACAGTCTAGGTAATAACTTCTGGTCATAGGAAAGACATACCCAAATATAAAGAGACTACTCTAATGATACTCTCTGTGAGAGTTCCTCATAGAGTCTCTTTGTGGGTCCGTTCAGTGCGAGCTATACCCTTATAGGTCCACCCACGACTTTAGCTAAGACATCTCCATATCTGTAGCACATGAGGTCTATACCTTGTATCCATATACAAATAGATAAGTCGTGCTAGTCTTACCCGAGATTACTGACCCCATTCTCAGTATCTCTAGACTAGGAACATAAAATTAGGAATGAACATCCGGTATTCTTGAATCCTCATGATTGTGATCTCATCACAGATACTCAAGAGATACCTATTTTATTTCACGGGGTTTATCAAGTTATTCATAATATATTAATATTAATATCGAGACATAATTATGAAACAAGATAAAGAGTGCTTTTATTTATTTGCGACAATATTAAAAAGGTCTACATCTCTGTCCTTATTTAATCATAAGATTGTCTCTAGGACACCCAAATACTAACAGTTATAATGTTGCAGTATAATCTCGGTCAAACTGTATGAGCAGAATTTATTCACATTGATTTATTTACTGAATTGATTTCTTTTATCATTTGTTTCAGTGAAGGGAAGGCACATCTAATTGGTGGTATAAAATGGTTTCCTTTGAGATGAATGATCGAAAGAGTAAGTGGAATCTTTTTCTTTTTTCTTTTTTACTGTGAATAATGGGTATCATATAAATTGGTCTTCTGTCTTTAGTATTAAATTCTAAGAATGGATTATTACAGAGTTTGCAATAGTTCCATAAATAAATTACTTTTCAAATTCATCTATTTAGGGAAAGTCTTATCTAGTTGAAATGATTCTGATTTATGCTAAGGTTATGCAAGTTTGTTTGGTTTGTGAAATTGTTGCTTCAGGTCCAAAATTGTTTGCACTTAATGGTGCTATCTAATTATAATGCCAAGATTTATTAAATTGTGTTCTGTTGTCTCTGCTTATCATTATTGCCTTGATTTTTAACAAAGCTTGTTCGAGGAGTTGCTGCCTCAGTGTGTGCCTTGTGTCTTGTGGTTGCATATGGAGCAGGGTATATTGTGGGCTTCAGTCCATATAAAAGCAAAAAGAGAAATAAGAGGAAAAGAAGAGAACAAAATTTGTGACTAATGACTGGATCCTAAGCAAGAAATAGACATATTTGAAAAGTTATCTGTTTTGAAAACTTAATATTGATAATCTATTTATGTAGTAAAAATAATCATTACTTTAGATTTTCTTCAGTTACTTGGATCAAGAGATCTTTCTTGAGCTGAAACAGTTGTTAAAACATTTATTAGTGCCTTTGCCTTCGTATATTTGTTCTGCAATCTTAGCTAGCAGACGGATATGATGTATTAAATTGTATACTAGTTATTTTTGTTCTTTACATAGTTGGCATCTACTTTTCCTATTTGTAAATTTATTTACAATTCTAATAGCTTATGAAATTTAGTGTTTGCATTTGACACATGAAACAGAGATTGGATTGGGACTAACGGGCTTTGGTATATTTTTCTCATTCCTTGGCATTATCTTCTTCTTCGACAAGGGATTACTTGCAATGGGAAATGTAAGCTCTGTGTTATGACAAGATTCTTGCTTAAGTTTTTGAATTTTTTACTTGTGTGATTTTGATTAATAAGGACTTTTATAAAATCATTTTTGGTGACTCAAATCAGATCCTCTTTGTATCTGGAGTATCCCTTACCATTGGACTGAAATCCACCACACAGTTCTTCATGAAACGCAGTAATTTCAAGGTAAATTAGTTATGCATTTATCATCACTTTCATTTATCATTCCATGTTCTGTTCATAGTATAGTTTCCACCTTCACTCTTTACTTCTCATTTGCTGGTTCTGTAGGGAACAGTTTCATTTGGTATTGGATTCTTGATTCTTATCATGGGATGGCCCATTTTGGGTATGATTGTGGAGGCTTACGGGTTCATTGTACTCTTCAGGTTTAATGGAAATTTAAAGAAACTGTTTTATTTAGTATTTTTTTATACTCTAAAGCTCATGATGGAATTATATTTTGCAGTGGTTTCTGGCCTACACTGGCTGTTTTCTTGCAGAAGATCCCTGTTCTTGGTTGGTTGTTTCAACAGCCCTATGTTCGATCGGTAAGCAGTTGCGTTGAAATGTCCTTTTTCCCCCCTATATCATCTTAAGAATTTACAGAAATCTTTCATTATTGCTATTTTAGTGTTTTACACTTTTGCCAGTCTGCTTCTTACCATATCAATAATGATGGAGGTTCATGGAAGTCTAAACAAATCTCTAGTAGCTGCGATAGACTGGGGCCTCTAAATCTTCATCGATAAATGTCTTAAAGAATAGTTGGTTCTGTTTTTCTGTCAAGAGATTGTTGAATGATGTGAATAGTTGGTTCTATCTATCTGTCAATATGATGTAGAAGTTTTTCAGTTCTTTGCCAGATGTTGAAAACTGTATGCACTCATTGCATAATATGCTGAAATTATCAAACTGAGCATTTTCTGTCATCTTGCAGTTTTTTGACCGCTATAGAGGCAGACGGGTGCCTGTTTAACAAGTGGATCTCTTGAAAAAATATCTAGCTGCTAGGAATCACATATGTAAAGTACATGCATAGAAAATACTCTCATATGGAAACCTAACTCTGAATTGAGTTTGCATTCTGATGGTAGAAAATTGTCATGATTGTCATTTAATCAAAGGAAAATGGAAAGGAAAAAGGTTTTGGTTTTCATTTTACAACTCCTTGTTTGGTCCCTTTTTGATTCTCATGCTCCGTGGAAAATCAATTGAGGGAGTTGTCAGTTCTGCAACTTCATTTACATTACTATTCCAATCAGACAGATATCTTTGGGAAGTATTTGTACTTGGAGTATCACGGTGGCGTTTGTTTGCAATTCGTCAAAGGAATATAACGATTTTGAATGATGTCAAATGGAGCTAGTGCAGCTTTATGGGACTTTCTATTTTTTATTTTTTTGTAATTTACCCTTCCATTGTGAGTTGGAGTGGAGTTACATTTTTTGAAATATATAATACCTTCCTATTAATTCTCGTGTCATCCATTAGATTCTTCGCAACTGAGTCCCTTTTTGGTTGTCCAATGATGATTGAGAAACAATAATTACTCATTCACACTTGTAAGGTATATTTTTATTAGCTGTTCGTTTGGGATTGGATTCCGTATTTTTTACTTAAAACTCACAGCATCTTATATTTTCTTTTTGGTGCACACCTGGAATCGTTGTTTAAGTTGACAAGATTTCAATTTCTGCGCGGCACGGATCATTTTGATGCATGCAATTTGAAACAATGGTCGCTTCTATGATACAATTGGTTTGACGAAAATGTTAGTAACATCTGAAGTTTTGAAATCACACCTCCGTGTCTCTTTTGATAATCAACCGTCGAAGGAAGTGATATCTCAGTAGAAGCATTTAATATGTTGAAAATTTTAAAAATATTTAATGATTATTTTTAAATAATTAATATAATTTAAAGAAGGATAAAAAATATTATTCATTTATTTCCTTTTTGGTGCTTTAAGAGTAAATATTAGTATGTTCATTTTTTGTTGTTTTAGCATTTTGTTGTTGTGGATGCATGCTAAATTTTCTAATTTCATTAGTTTTACATCAAAGTTATGCTTTTTTTTTTTTTTTTTTTGAAAAAAGATGGAATTAAAAACTAACGAACATTACAAAATCTGGGGTAAGAGACACCCATCAGATCACTGGACAATAGAGCAATACACTCACACGGAGCCTCATGAAAGATGTGCATCCCCCAATCTAAGAACCTATAGCCTAAGAGAGCAAGTTTGTCGGCAACCATATTCCCCTCTCTAAAGGAGTGACTAATTCTAACCTCCCACTACCTATGAAGCAATTCTCGAATGTTGTTCACAATTGGAGCCAAGGGGTGGAAAGGATCACAGCCCTTGTTGATCAAAAGGATAGCCACTTGGGAGTCTCTTTCCAGCCAAAGCTTCCTGACTCCAGCCTCCCAGGCTATTTTCAAACCATATAAAAAACCCCAGAGCTCGGCTCTAGAGGCAGAACCAGCACCCAGGTTTCGACAAAATCCAAGAATCCATGATCCAGAATCGTCTCTTAGCACCCCACCACAGATGGACTTAGTACCCCCATCGCTACTCGAACCATCCACATTCATCTTAGACCAACCTGTGTCAGGGAACTGCCAACAGACAAAACGTAAATCCTTGTCCCGTGGTTGGAGACCGTGCTTGCTGAGAACTCTATAAGCTTCGTTGATGTGATCCACAAAGGCTTTGGCCCCTCTGATCACCGATTGCTGTGAGGAAGATTTATTATCAAAGACTAACATGTTACGGGCTTTCCAAATAAGCCAACAGAGAACCCCAAACAGATCCTTCCAGTTACAGTTTTGGAGGATGTCTAGGTTCTTTAAGTTGTTCTCTAACCGGCAGTGGAGAGGGGCTGTGAAGAACACTGCCCATCGAGCTGTTGGAACAATTGAACCCCATAATTCCTTAGTCCAGCTACAGTCTCTTAGCAAATGGAGAGTATCCTCGCACCCCTCATTGCTTCTCGGGCACAGACTGCTGCTAGACATATGCCTGTGAAACCTATTTGCGTTGTTCAAAAGAAAATTATTGGACACCATCCAGAGGAATGTTTGTATCCTTTAGGGTCCCTTCCACGACCAACCTACGTCCCAATGCATATCTTCCTCGTTGAGCAAGTCTTGAGTGAGCATATGATAAGCAGATTTAGTAGAAAAGGTCCCATCATTGGTAAGGTCCCAGATCACGAAATCCGGTCCATTAGTAACTTTGGGAGGCATAAGGTTGGCAATAGCTGTTGGAAATCGACAATCACACAGAATCGAGTAAACAGAAAAAGAGATAAGAGTAGAGAGATTGACACGATGATTTACCCTGGTTCACCCAATATAGGCTACGTCCAGCTTGTCTGTACTATATTCACCTCACCGCCACTCGTTACAAGTCTCTCGGTTTACAAGGCAAATATAAATAGGATTACAAGAAACCCTAACAGCAGCTATTCATGGGCCCAAGCCCAAACTGCTAAGAAAATTACAAAAGAAACAGAGGCCTAAACATTACCTAGCCTCTACGGGCCCGGGGGCGCTGCCCCCCGGACCCCCGCCCGCTCACCTGGGAGCGGGACCCCAGTTGCCTTTCTGCTGACCCCGACAATTAGGGCCAACATCATCATGTGAAGTATGAGCCATACCCAACATTCTCTCACTTGGTGAATGCTTCACATGTTTCTTCAATCCCAAAGCATCTGTACACCATTCAAACTTCTCCGAAGTCACTGCCTTGGTCAGAAAATCAGCATTGTTGACCTTTGTGTCAACCTTCTCGAGCAATACAACCTTGTCTTCAATCTTCTCTCTGATGAAGTGGTACTGTATGCCGATATGCTTGGTCCTCGCATGGAAACCTGGGTTCTTAGCCAAGAAAATGGCGCTCTGACTGTCACACCCAACGATCATCTCTCCTTGTGCAAAGCCAAGCTCTTTGCACAACCTCCGTAACCAAATAGCTTCCTTAACAGCATGTGTCAAGGCCATGTACTCAGCCTCTGTAGAAGATAAAGCAACAGTGCTCTGCCTCTTACTCATCCAACTGATAGCTCCGCCAAATGAAGAAACAACATATCCACTTGTAGATCTTCTACTATCAATGTCACCTCCCCAATCAGCATCCACAAAGCATCTCAGCTCTAACAATGTCTGTCCCCTTGAGCCCTTCACGCCTTTATAGCATAACCCAAGGTCAGACGTACCACGAAGATAGCGGAACACACGCTTCACATCCGTCCAATGCTCATTTCCTGGCTTGGACATATACCTGCTCAATACTCCCACTGCTTGAGCAATATCAGGTCGAGTACAAATCATGGCATACATCAGACTCCCTACTGCACTAGCATAAGGAACTGACGCCATCTCTTCTTTTTCTTCTTCAGTCTTGGGACACTGGTCAGCCGATAACTTAGAACCAGTAGACATGGGAGTCAACACAGGCTTGCAGTCAGTCATCTTGAATTTCTTCAGAACATCTTCTATGTACTTCTGCTGACTTAACCATAATCTTCGTTTGTCACGCTCCATCTTAATCTGCATACCCAAGATCACATTTGCAGCGCCTAGATCTTTCATTTCAAACTGCTTTGCTAGCAGTCCTTTAACAGTGCTGATCATTTTCAAACTGTTTCCAACGAGTAACATGTCGTCAACATACAAAGTTAGAATAACAAAGTCACCTTCTAACCTTTTCACATAAACACAGTGATCAGCATCACAACGGTCAAAGCCAAGCTTCAACACATAAGTGTCGAACTTCATGTACCACATCCTTGGGGACTGCTTCAGGCCATACAGAGATTTATTCAGCATGCAGACTAGCTCCTCTTTGCCTCTTGCAATGAACCCCTATGGTTGCTTCATGAAAATAACCTCCTCCAAATCACCATGAAGAAAAGCTGTCTTCACATCCAGCTGCTCCACCTCTAGGTCATATGCAGCTGCTACAGACAAAACCAGTCTTATGGAATTTAACTTTGCAACAGGTGAAAATACCTCACCATAATCAACCCCTTCTGTCTGTGAATATCCCTTTGCAACCAATCGAGCCTTGTAGCGTTCAATCTCCCCATTGGCACCAACCTTCTTCTTGAACACCCACTTGCAACCAATTGCTTTTCGGTCTGCAGGTAGATTCACCAAACTCCAAGTTTGATTTTCATCAGAGACTTCATCTCTTCTTTCATAGCTTCCTCCCAATGTTTGGCATCCTCCGAGCTCCTCGCATGTTTTACAGTGCTCGGATCATCACCTGTAATACTAAATGCACAAACATCATCACTAGCACACATGATATAATTTTCAGGTGTATACCTCTCAGATGGTCTTCTTTCCCTCGTGGATCTCCTCAGCACTGGTGCTTCAACCTCAGCCTCAGTTTCAGAAAATTCATCCTCTACCTCATTATATTCAGCAGCTTCAGAATTCAAAATTTTCCAATTCAATCTGTGAGTTTATTGTATCCTCTTTCAAACCCACATCCAACTCCACCGTCTGTGACTTTTCAGGAGCTTCAGGAAAAATCTGATTCAACTTAGATTCTCTGAATACAACGTCTCTGCTGTAAGTTACACTTCTAGTATCCGGATTCCACAACTTATAACCTTTGACGCCATCCTTGTACCCAATAAAGATACACTTTTCAGATTTACTGTCAAGCTTGTTTCTTTTCTCCTTGGGTACGTGCATATAAGCTTCACAGCCAAACACTCTGATATGAGATACGTCTGGCCTTTTTTTAAACAGTGCTTCATACGGAGTCTTCTCCTTCAAAGCTGATGTAGGAGATCTGTTCTTCAGATAACAAGCAGTAGCCACTGCCTCTGCCCAAAACTCAGTTGCCAAGCCTGCACCGCTCAGCATACTCCGTGCTTTCTCCATGAGAGATCGATTCAACCTCTCTGCCACCCCATTCTGTTGAGGTGAGTAGGGCGTAGTCTTCTGTCTTACAATACCATTGCTCGCACAAAACTGGTCAAATTTTGTTGAACAGAACTCCCCTCCATTGTCAGTTCTCAGCACCTTGATTTTTTGATCAAATTGATTTTCCACCAAAGCCTTGAACTCGCAGAATTTATCGAACACTTCATCCTTGCTGCGCAAGAAATATAACCACACATATCTTGAAAAATCATCAGTAAAAGAAACATAATACCTTGATTTTCCATGTGATACAGGTGTGGGGCCAAACACGTCGCTGTGTATCAAGTCCAGAACCCCCTCAGCTCTTCCTCCTATGGAATCAAAAGATACCCGATTTTGCTTCCCTTGCAGGCAATGCTCGCAAAATCCAAACCCCATAGAGCAGCTCGGAATTCCATCCACCAACTTCTTTGATGTTAGAGTCTCCAGACCTTTTCCTCCAATATGCCCCAGCCTCCTATGCCATAACATAGCAGTGTCCTCCTCCGCCTGTTCTGAAACATAGCTTTCACCACTGAATACTGTGCTACCCAGCAGTTTCCACAATTTACCATGACGCTCTCCTCTTGCAATAACCAAAGCTCCTCGAGTCAGCTTGCAAGAATACTTGTCACTGCTAAAATTAATACCAGCATCTGCCATACTACCAACGGAGATCAGATTTCTGGTAAGCCCCGGAATATGCATCACACCCGGCAGATTCTTGACTGTCCCGTCACTCATCTTCAGCTTTACCCTCCCACGCCCCACAATTGCATGAGTCGTGTCATCTCCCATTCTAACTGTACCGCCAGAATACGATTCATAGGTGCAGAACCACTCCCTATGAGGTGTCATATGAAACGATGCTCCAGTGTCAATAATCCAATCATTACAGTCATTATGACTGTCAAACGCCATGTACAGGTCCCCTGTACTATCATCATCATTCTTCTTTGTACCCGAAGCAGATGGTTGTGAATCATCCCGCTTCTCAGGACCTACACTTTTACTTCTGCAATTCCTTCTCAGATGTCCAACCTTTTTGCACCTCCAGCACCTCATTTCAGATTTATCAGATTTATCACGGGACTTTGATCGTCCCCTCGATCTTCCTCTGTGACCAGACTTTGATTTGTCATCACTCCTCCCTCTAGCAACCAGAGCCTCATTGTTGGTACCTTCAGAACCTACCCTTCTCATCTCCTCAGACAATAAGGCAGCAACAACCGTCTCAAACGACAGTTTATTAACACTAGTACCAATTGACACAATGATGTGCTCCCAAGAGTTGGGCAGTGAACACAACAAGGTGCAAGCTTTGTCTTCCTCGTCCAGGTTAATGTCTATAGACGAAAGTTGTGCACAAATAGTATTAAATTCATTTAAATGAGCAGAGAAAGAATCACCTTCGCTCATCCGCAGATTATACAGCCTCCTTCGTAGGAACAGCTTGTTCACGAGTGACTTGCTCTGATAGAGACTTCCCAGCTTCGTCCAGAGATCCTTCGCGGTCTTCTCAGAAGTTACGTTCACCAGAACGTTGTCAGCCAGGCATAACCAGATCAGGCTTCGCGCCTTTCGATCGTCTCTGGTCCACGCCTTCAACTCCTTCGACTCGCCATCACCTGACGTTTCTTCACCGACAGGTTTTGTTGGTACGGACGACTTATCATCTTCGATCACGTACCACACGTCCCTGTCAACGAGCAGAGCCTCCGTCTTCAGCTTCCATAACTCGAACCCTTTTCCTCCGAACTTTTCAACCTCGACCCGTGATTGGCCAGTCGACATCCTCTCCAGATCAATTTCGCAGTTTTATCTATGCCAAGAAAAAACCCTAAATCGCGAAACCCCAATCTGTCACAGGAACCCTGGTCGCAGAACCAAAGCTCTTGATACCAATTGTTGGAAATCGACAATCACACAGAATCGAGAAAACAGAAAAAGAGATAAGAGTAGAGAGATTGACACGATGATTTACCCTGGTTCACCCAATATAGGCTACGTCCAGCTTGTCTGTACTATATTCACCTCACCGCCACTCGTTACAAGTCTCTCGGTTTACAAGGCAAATATAAATAGGATTACAAGAAACCCTAACAACAACTATTCATGGGCCCAAGTTGCCTGGGAGCGGGACCCCAGTTGCCTTTCTGCTGACCCCGACAATTAGGGCCAACATCATCATGTGAAGTATGAGCCATACCCAACAATAGCAGCACAAGATTGAGGGGACATCACTTGATTTAACATGTTCCAATCCCAATTACCAAAAGAGTCAACAACCGTGCTTACTTTCCAGCTGCTTATGTCTTCTGATAATGACCCTGGCCTGCACTTTGTTGCTGTGGGGTAGCCAAGTCTCGTTCCAAAAGTTAGGTAGGTTTCCATCGCCCAACTGAATCCTGGAACCTTGGATCACCTTGGGCCAGACATGCATGACACCCCTCCACATGTTAGAGGCCTGTTTAAAAGGTTTCAACGTAGGGATGAGGCTGTTCACCACTCCATACTTGCTTCTAAGCACTTAGACCCAAAGACTATTCGTGTGAGTGAGGATCCCATGACCCAGTTTCATAAGAAAAGCCAAGTTCGTTTCGCGTAATCTTCTAAACCCCAACCCTCCCCTTCTTTTAGGCGGGCAAATGTTCTCCCAAGCCACTAAGTGAATCTTACGCTTGTCAACAATGGACCCCCAAAGGAAGTCTCTAGCCCTCATCTCAATTTTGGCACAGGTACTGATAGGAAGGTAGCAAGATTGCATGGAGTAGGAAGGGGTAGCTGCGATGACAGCTTGCACAAGTGTAGACCTGCCAGCAAAGGATAAAAAGGATTTCTTCCAGCTGCATAATTTTCTATCAATTCTATCCAGAATGAAGTTGAACGTTGATGAGTTCACTTTGTCACAAAAAAGAGGGATCCCTAAGTACTTTCCCAAGTCGGCAGCAATAGTGAAGTCCATAGAATGCGCAATCTCCACAGCACGGTTATGGTTGACGTTCCTGGAAAAGAAAATCCTAGATTTCTCCTTGTTAACTGCTTGGCCCGATGAGTCACAGAAGCAAGTCAATACAGCACCAATAAGCTTGGCCTGTTCAACCGACGCTTCAGCAAAAAGGAGGAGGTCATCCGCAAAAAACAGATGAGTAATGAGAGGTCCTTTCCTTCTAAGAACAACAGGTTTCCACTTCTTGCGAGACAAAGCCTCAAGAATCAAATGAGCCAGTCTTTCGATACATAGCACAAACAGGTAGGGTGACAAAAGGTCACCCTGCCTGATCCTTCTAGTCGGATGGAATTCCTTCGAAGGACAGCCTTCCCACAGCACGCTCATGGAGGCTGATGAAACACCTTCCATAATAAACACCTTCCATAATGACCTTCCATAATGTTATAAGTATTAAATATAAATTATATTATATATATTAAAAATATTATTTAATATCAAAACGTGTCCCAACGTGTCGAAATATGCCATTTTTTAAAATTAACGTGGTGATGCACTACAAGAATTTTTTTTATTAGTGATAAAATTTTATGAAATTTCGTTACAAATACTTACGTCGCAAGTAAATTTCGTCACAAATTCCTGCGTCGCAAGTTTATTTGTGACGAAATTTGATTATTTGTGTCAAAAATTGTCATTTATGACAAAATTTTTCGTCACAAATAAACTTTTTCTTGTAGTAACGTATCGTGTCCCGTGTCAGTATCCGTGCATCATAGGTTTTACACACCTCTAATATTTTCACACACAGATAAGACAGTAACCAACATATCTAATATGAACAACTTACATATGAATATGCAACTTTGGACATGCTCTATTCAATCTTCATCTTCATATTTACTCAATTTAATTTGCGACTTTACATATCTATACTAAATTTAATTCACACTGCATGAACTTGAGCTCAATTTTAAACATTAAATTAAAAATATTCTTTGTTTTAAATTCAATATCTAAAATGACCGGCAAGTATTCTACATTTGAAATTGTGCATTTCATATATAAAATGTGTACCAAATATCAAGCGTAGACCCTCAAATACTGAAATACCAAAAAAAAACATAAAAATGAGGAAAACTTTAAATAGGGCGTCTAACTATATCAAATATAATTATAATATCCTCTCTATACTCAACTATAATAACTTACAGTAAGATCTCATGTGTTCTAATATTATCCCATAAGCTTAGAGTACTTACACGAATTTCTCGTCTCTCAAACTTTTTTCTTGCCACTTTCATTTTTTTCTTGTTGGATGGCATTCAAGAATTACTATATATTTAATGTCTTATGATCAAAGTGTTAGTATACAAACTATTTATCTAACTCCAAAGTATCGTGCTTATCTCTTCTTTTTTTTTTTTTCTTAGTTACGTTACATTAATGTTTGCACAAATTATCCATCATCTTCTGTACACTACAAAAATTCAAGCATTTTGTGGGGTCATATTTTCATATTGTGGGGGTCTTTGACCCCCACAAAATACATTTGTGGCATCCTCAACGACCCCCAATTTTGCCTACGCCACAACATATTTTGTGGAGTCTTTATGTGTAACGTCATAATTTGTTGAAATATTTTCTGGAGGCTTCAGACCCCCACAAATGTTTCAGTTTCTGGAGGTTTAAGACCCCCACAAATTTGTTGAAAATTTAAAAAAAAATCATTTAAAATTTTACGTTTCTTATAAAAATCCAGGTAGATTCTAAAGGATAAAAAAAATTCATTCCAAATATTTGAATATATATCTAAATAGAACTTGGTTTTCAAAGATAAAAAAATCAAAGAGATGTATAAATGAAATTAAAAACTAAAAGTTATTAAAAATTGATAACTATTCATGCAGGCCAAAATTTGAAAGTTATCCTGTTTTTTACAAGTAGCCTCATATCCTTGTAACTATAAAAATGGGCAAAGACAAATATTTGATAAGATCCTTAACGATCATAGAATATTCTTTGATAACTTTTTTCAGAAGCTTGTCATGATCTGAGGCTAAAATCTTGAGGGATGCATATGTAAATATGTATCTTTTAACCTGTAAAGTCCCATTCTTTTGGCAAGGTTAGCTATCTGTTTAGTCTCTCCTGTCTTTTTTATTTCTAGATACAATCTTCTAGTCCTTTTCACTGCGTAACAGCATTCTGAGCTTCCATTTCCACTCGTCCACATTGGCCACCGTAGATTATGCCTACAATAACCATCACATTTTCTTAGAACTACTGAAATCACAAATAGTAGCCTTATCACAGAGCTGATCATGGTTCTCAGAAGCAACTGAATAAGAATGGAGTTATAGAAGAATAAATCTAACTCCATATTTAATTCAAAGAAAATGTAAGCAAAGAAAATTTCCGTTATCTATAATCAATTGAACTCAGTTTAATTTAAGCAATTAAACAAAGTACACGACAAAAATCACAAACCCCCACTAAAAATACCTAAACATAAATCATTTAAAAAAAAAGTAAGCAATTTTAACTCATTGATCCCAACATTTTCTTAATAGAGTTAAATATAGGATAAAGTTCAATCGCTCCAACCAGGAAATTGTCTAATCTAAATGTGTTAGTTGTATCATACAGTCCATCTCACAATATAGTTATATTCTGAAAACCAACATTAATTCCACCAACCTTTAAGGATGCAGAGGTTGTATTGATCCAATTAGGGATTGAAGCCTCATCATCATTCATATGCAACCCATCTTTCTTCCTTGGGTGAAACTGAATGCCATGAGTTCATTACTGTGATGCTATCTTTCTTCCTACAATGAATACACAATCAAGTTTGAGCCCAAATGTAACACAAACCAGAATGGTAAGACACCGCTTTCTATCAAATTGAGGTATAAGAAACCTATAAGCGACCAAGATGTTTGAATCATGCAGCCCGTCATCATGCCACCTTACATTAAGCATATCACTCTTACCAAATTAAAAAAAAAAATCATTCAAATTGCAAAGGGAATTCTCACAGTATACAAAATGCTCTTGGAATTTGATTTGTAAATTGAGAATCTCTGCACTCCATCAGGCTTAATGGCAATGAAAGTGCACTCTACTGAGCAGGTAAAAATTAACACATGATTTGCACATAAGAATCATATAAAAAAATGCTTAACATACCTCAACAGCATGTACCTCCTGATCTTGGAGCATGTAAGCTGCAAGACATACAAATTGAAAAATAAAAGGAAACATTTAATATATGAATACCTGTAGATTCATACTAAAATTGCATTTTTATAGAACAAAACCAGATTCTCTAATATTGCATTTTTAAACTCCCGAGGCATTATCTCCTTCTCAATAACATGCAATTTAAGAGAAATATACGACAATAAATTGTAGTTGTCAAACAAGTATGCAAGACAAGACATGGCAATTCATAATGTATTTGTTTGTCTTCAGTCTTCATTTATGTACTTAATACATTTGCCAGATAATAGAAACAAAAAATGGATGTCTTATGTTTGAAAAAAAAAATTTATTGTCGAAACCAGCAGGAAGAGCGAGAGCTCCTGAAATCCATGATCCGGGTCTACTTCCAGAACCGGATATCATAATCTTTGAAGGAATGACTTAAGTTGATCTTCCAAAAATCATTATAAGGGTGAAGTACCCTTATTTCAGTAAACAAAGGTGGGTTTTTTCCCAAGTATAGGTGCTGTACAACGGCTTCTTTCTGCAAATATAATAAATAGATATCAATTAATATATACTCAAACACAAGGAACAATTTTTATACTCAAACACAAATACATAAAACTAACCAAAATATAAAAGGGACAAAAAGGAAAAAGTTTCACATCTTTCTTAATCAAAGTCTTATAGAGAATATGAAATTCATATCAGATATTAACATTTAAACAACACAATTATCAAGAAAATGGTTGAAACTCAAATTGTCTGATCAAGCAATATAGAGATAAATAGCTGAACAGTATGAGTCATACAGCAGTCCAAGGTTTGTACTTCTCTAATAACCAAGGTATGATAGGGAGTAAAATCTTCTGAGAAGCAATCTGTTCCATACATATAGGCCATATGTTTTCAACTGCATGGTTCAACCACCGGACTGTTTCAGAATCAGAAAGCACCTGAAGTACAAGAAAGGCCATTATGCATGTTATATCAGTAAATCATCATAACATCACCCTTTTCAATGAGAATACCACATCTAGAGTAATACTTTAAATTTGCAATGATAACATAAGATCGAAGATACTAAAAAAATTGAATATTAATTTACTACTAGGGAGTTTTATAATTTGAATTATTTCTTATTCTCATAGTTTTAGTCCTTTTATCCTTTAAATAAATCATATAAAATTTTATTTTCGTGATCAAATGAAAAACATTGCTTTCAGTGACACAAAACATTAATGTTGACCAACGGGGGTTGGCTCAAGTGGTAAGGTACTTAGTTCGCTTAAGCAAGGACTCGAGTTCGAGACCTTGTGTATGCAGAAAATCCTCGCTGGGAGAATCATCTGCCAATGCTAGGTAACCTACCCGGGTCGGACTGGACATAGTTGGAGCGAAGCCCCGGAAACCAGTGGAGCAATCCAAAAAAAAAAAAAACATTAATGTTGGACTATCATCTAAGAGAACCTTACTAATAAGTAATAATTCATTCAAAACGCAGCAAGGGGGGTAACATAGATGTAGATTTCAACTTATCCTCTTCTCTCGGTCAGATTCTGATTCAAGAGTTAAGCGAATGGTTTAACTTTTATGAAGAATTTAATTAAGATATTAGTTTATTTTACTTCATTAACCACTGTTCATTTACTTGAAACTTATTATTTCCCCCTCAAACTTCAATATCCATAAAATCAAATAACCATGCTTTAGCAGAATTACCCTTCTCTGATTAGCTTGTTTCCTCTCCTCATGCTGCAACTTCTTCCGCAGCCTCGTAACATAACGCTCGTGAACCTTTCCAAAGGAAAAGATCAAAGTCAGAAATATAATATTTATTTATTAATTATATCATTTACCAAGCGAGAAAAACACTGTTCTATAAAATCGAGTAAGCTCGAAAAATTAAATAAAAAAAATACACAGAATTTTGTAAGAGTGTGACCTGCTTGGGGAAGTGCAACGAATTCGAATGATGGCATCAGGCAAAAGGACCTTGTTCCTGAATGGAAGGATTGCTAACCGATTTGGAAGCTCCACCGATTCCGCCATGTTTCTGATGAGAGAGGATCGAATCGAAGAAAGGAACAAAATACTGCGTACGGTTTGGTTGAGAGAGGGAAAGAGCGAGGAAAATGCTAGTGTATGTTATGAGTAGAATCTAAGACTCAGAATTTGAGAATGAAGAAAGAAGGCTGAGAAATGGAGAGAGGAAAGAGCGAGGAAAAGGTGCTGTGGCGTTTGGCGATCCTACTCGGTTTTTTTTGCATAGTAAAATTTATTATTTTAAATTTTTTTAGAGCACATTAATAAATGGAGATAAAACAATATAAAGCAGAAAAATGATAATAAATTGTGAGGGCTTAAAATGTGTTAAAAATTATATTATTTAGTGGAGGTTTTCTTGACCTCCAGTAAATAACCTCCACTAATCACCTATTTTTTTGTAGTGGTAATTTCATCTTATCTTTCTCTTTTTATTCAAACACTTTCAATTCAGTTCAAGCATTCATGAACTTATATAGAGGCGGTTCTCCCAACATCGTCTTTTGTATTATCTTTTGTTTGTGTAATTATCGTGATAAATAGGCTAAGTCTCACACTCATTAGGCCATAACTATTAGTTTGCATATTACAAAACATTGTCAATGAACGCTATAGTAATTAATTAGGCACTTCTTATTGGTTAAATAATGACAGTTAGAAAAACGATACAATTAATACAAAACTAAAAATTGATGAGAAAATATTATTTTATTTTACTACACAACAAATAATTATTTTAATCAAACAGAGAATTCATCTTTTAAAGAAGAATTGTGCTTTCTCTGTCTTTTGGATCGTTGGAGAAGTGATTTACGTAGTTTTAGCTCCACCAACAATCCCAAAATCAAGAAGTTGGTGAAACATAATTGTATAGGTATGATCAGTTTCTAACCTAATGTTTTTCTGGCGTATTAGTATTAGCTATTTACCCTCTTTACTGTTGAAATGCAATCCTAAATACATGTAATACTTATTATATATGTGACCAAACATTCTTTGGCTTAATTATTATGTATGTGACTAAACATTCTTTGGCTTAATTTTGGGGCTTAGCTATTTATGTAAAAGTAGTCTTATTATTACATTCTTATTATACAATAAAATGTTGAACATAACTAGAGAATTAAAGTCTGAAAGTTAGAGGAAAATTAAAAAAAGTGATATCATTCATTTTCTGAAGACGCTTTAAATTTGTTACAATCAAAGACTTAAATTAAGCTAAAACGTTTACAACCTATTTTAAACTATCATAATTTAAATACACAACCAATGATAACTCACGTAATAAGCAAAATAATTAATGGGAATGTCCCCAAGTTGGAGCATGCAAATTTGAAATGCCTAACTCACTGACAAGTGTAAGAAATGGTCTTTCCCCAATAGCTTTAGTTAAGATGTCTGCCAGTTGTAAATGGCAACAAACATAGGAAGTGGAAATCGTCCTAGCTAGGAGATGCTCGTTGGCAAAATGGCATTCTAAGTTGTTGCGTTTGGTGGATCGTGAAAAATTGGATTAGATGCTATATGAAGTGTAGCTTGATTGTCGTAATATAGAGATAAGGGATGATCGTAAGTAACACTGATGGAGGTTAGAAATGTTTTTAACCAAACAAGTTTAGTAGTGACATTAGCCATGAATTTATACTTAGCCTTCCAGGAGTTGTGTGCTACTTTTTTTGTCTTCTAGGATTGACCTCCAAGTGATGAGACAAATAGCCTAATCAAAATTGCGGTATACCTAAATATCCATTGCATAGTTAGACTTCATAGAAAGACCTTGACTTGAATTATTCTTGACATAGCAAAGCACACACGATTCCAGCATCAATATGCTCTTGTTGTGGATTCCCATGAACTATGAGAGAATGTGCACAATGTAATTGAGGTCGGCCAGGTAATAGTCAATTACACATATTTGTTAATGAGCTTGTGATACCTGTCGGGGTCGTCGTATACTTGTCCGTCTACCAAGGCCATTTTATGGTTGGGCTCCACGGATGAGTGAGTTGGTTTACACTCTAAAATGTTGGACTGGAGCAAAATTTGCATGGCATATTTGTGGTTGTAAACAGTGATGTCAATGACATTACGGACAATGTTACACGAAGGGTTTCTACTTGGGAAGCACTCAACATTCTTAAAGACTTTGTGGCTTAAGAGCCTTGTCACGTGGGCACCACGAGGGCTGTCACGTAAGAGTAATAATAAGGGGATTGTTATGTTGGCTACAGTTGTAACTATTGTAGGAAAAGGGGTATACGATATATATAGGAAATTAAAGTGTACTTTGAACCATCTGAATAATAAACTTCTTGTGTTAGTTTTCTTGAATTCCTTCTCTGTTTTAGTTCTCTCTGTTTGGTTGTAACCTAACAATTGGTGCTGTGCTTTCATTCCTTAAACACCAATTGTTTGTCACAATGCGCATTGAGCTAGCTGAAGAGTTCACTACTCTCCCACAACGCATTGATGTTCGTCATGACGATACTCAATCTCAATTGGCTTGACTTGAAACCAGATTCGAAGAGCAGCAGAATCAAATGGCGATGATTGTTATGCAGTTGCAACAACTCAATTCCACGGTACAGTCCATCGATGCGCGTAATCGTGAATCTATGCCTCGCATGTAACCTCCAATTGTGCCTCCGCATTTCGATCCACCATCTTCGCACACTGGACCGCGAAGCTATACAGATACCAGAAAATTGTAACACCCCGTGTATACTCGGTTTGTTAGGATGTCATCGTATTAAGCCATGCTTAATTAAAAAGGCAGAATATATTTTTCTTTTCAATTATGACGTCATTATACTTAACCAAGTTGATTACTTAATCATTTTCATAAAACGCATGTATGTAAACTGTAAAAGATAGCTAACTGAATTACCTCATAAATAATTAAGTGAGTATCTAAATCACAGATCTACAACACGTAATCCGGACACTATCCTGATACATTAATACAATCCAAACTACGAATCAGATAGTCAAGTCAACGTGGCATGGACAATCCCCATGCTCACTGAATAAATGACATAATCAACCGAGTCTCAACAATAACATCAAATGAAGCTATAAGCATGATATCAACATCCAAAGATCAGCATCCAAGCATATAAGCAGATAAACATCAATCAACTAAGCTCCGGCTCCTGCCGCTAAAGGTCTCAACCCCTTGGTTACCTGAACCTGAAATAAGCGCCCCAAACATGGGGTGAGATCTATAAACAGAAATCTCAGTAAGACAAGGGGTCCTCAAGGATCTTCCACCCCAAGCTCACTTACATGTGCAATATAAGTTCAAAAACAGTTCAACCGTGTAAGTTCCAAAATAGTGCAATGCAGTAGATAGTCATGTTATGTGTGTTATAACTATTCTACTAATCAGAGAAGTGCATGAATACGTCTATTACCCACACAGTACACACCCATGTTGTACCCGCCCACAGGACCACCCCATGGTTTCTTGTCTAGGCGAAACACCACATACATATCATAAAGCAATTGCACTTAACAGCTCAATATCATTTCAATAAAACAGTACATGATAACACTAAATGCATATAACCATCCCCCCATGAGACATGGTGGAACAAACAATGGCTAAACCGAGGACACGAAAGCTTACCTTGCAAGCTAACAATCCAAGCCAAGAGTCCACACTAGCTCAAAGTCCACAAACAGCACAATCACAATCTGTTTATACAGTAATAATCATCAATTACCATTTACCAAGGTTACATTAAGTGATTAAGACTTTCCATCACATTTTAAGTCATTACATGCTGTTTCTGCAGGAGGTATTCAAATACTCCCCGAGTAGTATTCGAATACTCCAGCTCTCCAGAAAGTATTCGATTACTTTCATTAAAGTATTCGAATACCACAAGGTATTCGAATACCAACACTCCAAGTATCCGAATACCACAGTATCCGAATACCAAAACTCACTGTATTCGAATACTCTTCAGTATTCGAATACTTCTTCAAAGGTATCCGAATACTTTTCTTCCCAGAAAACTATCCCAATACTCCTGCAAGGAGTATCCGATTACCAAGGGATAAGTATTCGAATACTACACAAAAAATATTCGAATACTTCTCCAACAGAATGCAGAAATTCGAACAGAATTCTGCATAATCCCACTTTTAAGGGTCCAAAAGCGATTGGGAGTCCAATAACTCCCTAAACAGATATTCAACAACATCTTAGGAACTCAGAAACACATTCTTTTACTCAAATGGTTAAAGTTTCTCTTTTTAATCGATTAAACAAGCTTAAAACATCAAAAACACAAAGCTATGATCATAGTATACCTCTAAGGCTCACAACTTCGAAAATGAGGCACACTAGGGGTCCTCTACTCAGCACCAAGGTTCTGACTATCAAAAGACACGAAGTTGACCACCAAGCTTGGTCCTTTAAGCCAAAAGATCACTTCTTGGCACCACACAAGGCAAGAACAAGGCCACACAAGCCAAACCCAAGAAGACAGCCCCAAAGTCAGCAACTTCACCTCACCACATAGGCTACAAACTTAGAATGCGACACTCCACACCCTCCCAAGGCCAACTCTCACAAGCTACAATGTTTAGGTGAAGGGAAAAGGAAGGAAATGGTCTCAAGTTCACAAAAATGGAGCAATGAAACAGTACCAAGATGATCAGCCCCTCCAAGAGTGTCACGTAGGAATAGAGAATGCCTAGGCTTTTGAGCCCAAAAGTTGAATTTATAGGCACTTAAGTTTTAAACACACAGTATTAACAAAAATAACTACGCTTAACATTTTAATCTCAAACTTTATATTCTGAACCTAACCATTTTTCTAGGATTTATCATATTTTTATTTTATTTTTCGCAGCACCTTTCCGGTACGCACTTTTCCATAGCCAGTATTAGTTCTGGCACCAGCTCTCATTATTTTAACTTGAAACTTGAAATCACAGTCCTATATATTATTCTTGAATTATTAGGGTAAATTATGGAATTATTTCCTAATTTCACATAATTAATTAATTAACTTCCTTAATTAACGGTGCGGGTTCTTACAAAAATTGTCTAAAGCGATTCGGCTGGAAATTCTTGAATTTTGTGGCATTGATCCTAATAATTGGATTTTTCGTGTAGTGTTGTTCTTTACTCTGCAATAGATTTCCGAGGAATTTAAGGTTCTTATCGCTGGACTACGTATGGATGG